ACAGTTTCCATGAAAAAGAAGCTGATGTATGATATTTCCTATGCAACTAATATATATATATATATATATATATATATATATATATATATATATATATATATATATATATATATATATATGCTGAAAATATTTTTACCCCAAGTAAACAACACTTTTTATAGACAGACACAATGTGTCTGGCATCACTGAAAGAGAACATTAGTTTATCTCATTGTACCCCTATACTTGAGGCTGTGATAATAATAAATGGAAAACATATTTTCCAAAAGAAAGTATTGCTTGTTGCTTATGTGTTACCTTGTAAACTTACGCATGGTCTATTATCATCATTTATAATCTGCTCGTTGCCAGTACTTTATCTTGACTGCAAAATTTGATAATCAACACAATAAAAACCATGTTGCTTATAATTTTCAAAGGTATAGGAATTATAGCTTGAAGTTATTTTAGTTTTTTTTCTTGCATATTAATTTTCTACCAATTTGCATTCACAAGTTTGGCTTTGAATTTCTGTGGTACGGAAGCCATTGTTGAAATATACTGGTTGTCAACTATTAAATTTTCGTTGATGCCACTGTATGAATGGCATCATGGGCTAAATCTAAGAATTTGAATAAAATACGTATATGTGAACGTACTGTGCATTACAATTTATGAAAACATCAGTCGTGTCTTTGAAAAGCTACTTTACTGTTGTCTTATGCAGTGGATTCTTTTATTGTATATCCTGCTATTACATATAAGGTCATCAGTTCTGCAGAAAAGGGGAAAATAAAGTAAGTTTTCTGTAACCGATCACTTTCCAAAAGAAACTATCTGCCCCTTTGCTGTGCTATAACATATCAAATGCACATTTATTAAAGATAAAAATTTTTAAGTGAAAAAAAAAAAAAAAAAAAAAAAAAAAAACGGATGGCTGGAAATAGCGCAAAACGCATCCATAGAATGCGGTAGGACTGTTACCACTACTAACGCACTGTTTTGGTGTCTTGGCCAGCTAATATAACTCTGAATTCAGTGAATATAAGGCCAATGTCGTATCCAAAATATTTATCTACATTTATTTTACCTCGCATTCGGCCTTTCTTTGCTTCATCCCAAAATAACAGAACGAATTAATAGTCCACTTTTTTTGCGAAACTGTCCACATTTTCAAGAGCGCCTGATATTAAAACGTCTGGTGAGTTAATTAGAACTGAAAGTACCAGTTTTGTTTGGCCCTTAGCTATTTCTACCAAAAAGATACCACTTATAATACGTGAAACCTACGCACCTCTCTGTCTGCAACGGAGTCTGGCCAATCTGCCCACCTAACACGGAACGTTTTGATAACGTTACCACAGGATTATATAATGGTAAGACCATCACCAAACAACAGAACACTCTTCTAATGTTCTGTTGATCTTAGAAACGTTGCCATCACTTTTTATGAACGTATATAAATTTTACTGAAATTAATACATCGCACATTTTTGTAAAAAAAAAAACACATGCAAGGGAATTTCATATTTTGCATCACTACAATTTGGTACAATGTACCATCATCACATCTGAATGTGTTTAAAGCGTTCCTACAACGTTGGACCGCAAACCTGATAGTTACGCCTAGTGGCTAATTACATATTGGGGTCGGTTTTACTTGAGCGGTGCGGACTTGAGAACCTTCGGACTGTCGGGACCTACCCGAGATAACCGACATGTGATTAAAAGCTTATCAACTATTACACTAAATTAATAACTCCTTCTACAGTTCATTAATTTTGGGAAGGATTAAATAGACATCAATACTGTAAATAAACTTCATCAAAATGTTTAAAAATATGTTTTAAAGTAGTCTTGATAGTTGTTTGGTGTTTATGGCGAACTAATGAATTTGTTTTCACCTCATTTTACAAAATAGATTCTTATAAACTTGCTCGCAAAGTCAGCTAGCCTAGGTGTGAATATATTCAAAAGTGGCATGCCTTCAGGTAAGTGAATTACGTCGAATAGTTCATTATGATAATCGTGATGGGGAGAGCCCATTCCATTGGAAAGGTGTCAGGTGTGGCGATTCCATTCCATTGGAAGGGTGTCAGGTGGGGCGATTCCATTGAATTTGAGGGGTGTCAGGTGGGGCGATTCCATTCCATTTGAGGGGTGACAGGTGTGGTGAGTCCATTCCATTCGGGGGTGTCAGGTGGGGCGAGTCCTTTCCATTCAGGGGGTGTCAGGTGGGGTTAGTCCATTCCATTCGGGGGTGTCAGGTGGGACGAGTCCATTCCATTCGGGGGGGATGTCAGGTGAGGT